AGACTTCCTGGTGGAGGCTGGCGAAGAAGGGCATTCTGGGTAGAGGGAAGAGTGTTGGGTAAGAGAAAACACGCTGCTCCAGCAGAACGTGTGCAGAACGCAAGGAGAACCCGAGCAGCCTGGCTGGTTGTGCACCACACTCAGGGCTTGCCTAGAGGTGGCGCTGTGCAACAGCGGTTTCTAAGTGTTTGGGCCTCAGGACTTCACCCTCTTAAAAGTCACTGGACTTTTGGAAGCCCATATATATGACTTCCTAAATGACTGGACATATGGACTTTGTTTCTTGATAATTACCACATTAGAAATTAAAACAGAAATTATGAACATAGTTGTTGACCTACAGGTTGTCTTGAGCTATATTTTATGTTTCTAAAAATCACAATTTTCTAAACAGAAATGAGTGAGAATGGTAGCACCTGTTTGCAGAACTTTTCATGTCTGGCTTAATGGAGCCAGCTGGCTTCTGACACCTGTCTCTGCATCTCGTACGCGGCAACATCACATGTCAAGAAGCAGCTGGAAAACTCTAACGTACATTCATTAAACAAAAGAGGATCAAAGGCAAATGACATCACAGTATCATTATGGAAACAGTCTCAGTTTTGTGGGCCCCAGGGGTGCGCAGGCCACACGTTGAGAACAAGGGCTGCGGGCGTAGACAGGGCAAGTCCATGCGGGAGAGCCGTGTTCACAGCGCTGGATACACGCGGAAGGTCACCGAGGGGAGGGGCTCTGTGAGCTTGGACATACACAGTCAGGTCTGAGGTTGGAGTCGGCCTTTTTGCAGCTGTGTAGTGCATGGATTTGAGGGCACAAGACTTGAGAGAAGACAACTAGTTAGAAAATTATTACAATTGTTTGGGCAAGAAGTGATGAGAAACTCAGCTGGAGCCGTGTATCCAGATATGGAAAGAAGGGAATGGATTTTGAGAAATATTTAGGAAGTGGAATTGATTAGACTTGATGAGTGATTAGGAGTTGGAGGGACTGGGTTAGGATGTAGAGAAAATGCCATAATATTAGCTTGGGTACCTGAAGAGCCGGTGGTAAAATCTGTGACACAGGGACTATGGAAACCCTGCCAGGACAGGAGGAAAAGGAGGTGCGTTAGGTTTGGGGCTTGCTGCACTGCTGGGGGTATCAGAGGACCCAGGACAGGCATCCAGAAGGGTGAATGAGTGAATCTAAATCTCGTGTGGGGACCTCATTCATAGAGGCACTCTGACCTGCTCTTGGTTACTATATCCCTGACCCTTTCCACTCCACTCTCTCTTCGTGTGTTAAGTGACTGCAGCCATTTTTAGGATTCGGTCAAGGGAAGATGAAACTGGGGATGCATTTAGTTGAGTTTAGTGGCAAACACATATTCACGTGATTTTTTTAGCTACTTTAGTTATTGCTGACTCACCCTGCAGAGAGGAACTACCCAGGAACACTTCTCTCCCACACTCTGCGAGAGAGCAGGGCAGAGGCACTGACATGGGAGCTCACTGTTCTGCGCCCAGCACCAGACAGATGTGTGAGAGGAGGGGGAGCAAGGTTAAAAATAAATGGGTCCAGAAGTAGCTTGTGGAAGATTCTCCACATCATCATATACATTGTTAACATGTGAGCAGAGGAAGTTCTCTTCTGGTAGGAATGGCCACTCCTTCCAGCAAGCTGTGGTGTCTCTCTTCCCTCTCCTTGGATCTGGGCTGGTCCTGTGATTTGCGTTGACCAATAGAATATGGTGAAATGATGCAGGGTCATTTCGAAACTTTCATCTTTGAAGATACAAATCTTCCTGTGTTTGCATACTTAGCATGTTCCATCTTGGAATTCAGAGGCCAGACTTTTAGAATTCCATCTCAGGAGAAAAGGCCATGTGGAAGAGAACCAAGTCACTCAGCTAACAGCCAGCCACAAGAGCCGGCCACCCAGGGAGCCACGTGGATGGTCCAGTGCAGTGGGACAGTCTGATGACTGGGCCCCAGGTCCATAGTATGTTTGGCAAACAGTCCCCCAAGCTAAGCTCAGTCAACCCAGAAACCAGGCAGTACAAATGGCTGATTTTAACTTACAAGTTGCAGAATAAGATATTACTCAGCAAGAGATCAGCAAAACAGTTGCTGTATTTGGATCAGAAAAAGATAAAATAAAGACACCTGGGTCAAAAAGGAGCTCCCTCTTGACAGGACAGATTTGGCTATACTTACAGAGTCACAAAGGAATGAGTAGAGGGAGAATTAGATCCTGGAGAGAGGGGAGGTACTTCAGCAAGTCCTTGAATGAAACATTAATGAATTGGCTTAAGGACACAAATTGAGGTCCTGGCTTTGTATGGAAGGCAGTAACGAATAGGTTACTGTAACAGGTAACCTATTACAGTAACAGGTTGATGGTTCAACATGTGAGAGTGGAGAAATGAGGGCAGGAGGAGTGCATTACTTAGCTTAGTGGACCATTTATCTTGAAGGAAAAGATTTAAGATAACTTCAACCTGTGACCAAGCAAATAAGTGTTATTTCTTTATTTCAAGAATTTACCTAGAATAAAGAGAATAGAATTTGATTTCTCACTAAAAAATAATGAAAGCCAAAAGGAGAAAAAGACAACATCCTAAAAGTGGTAGAATTGCTTTCAATGGTTAAAATTTCTCAAACTCTTGATTTGATTTCCGTGGAATACTTGTGTAATGTGTTAAATAGAGCATTCTTTTAGGACAGTTTGCAACAGTTTAACAAAGCAAAACCCCCATTATCTGTCAAGAAAAGTAAAGAAAGGACTTGCATTGTGGAAGGATGAAAAAGAAAATCTTCACTTTATCCGTTTTTGCAAAAACATTTTTTTGCTTTAAAATTTGGCTGACATACTTTGAATTATTAAATTTTGGTTGGACATATTTAAATAACTTCTTTTTTTTTACTTTCTGAAAAAATAGCTGTGTGTTTTATATCTATTTTATCAATGTTTACATTACATAAATCGTTACCATTTAAAAATACAGTAGTTATGTTTTCTACATAAAATCCATGATACTACAAAAAATGGAAAGAACAGGCTGACATTTGAAACATACTTCCCAGCATTTAAATGCAGTGTGACATACAAGCAACATAACTGTTGCATCCATTCTGTGGTTTTCAAGTTATGGGAGCCATATATTGAGCGAAGATCCATTCAAAACACAATCACTCACCAATACAAGTTTGATAATACTTGTAGCAGTTTGTCCTTGATCCATCTTTTCCAGCTGCTCATTGTAAAACATGTTTCTTATCTGCACACTCTCTACTGTTTGTCTAGAGTTCTCTGACTCACAAAAATTAAGTGATCATTGACCAGAAGAATATCCTTTTTAGCAGCTGTCATAGACACAGTAACATCATGTCTGATGGCTTCCTCAGGGTCATAGATCTCACTTTAAGACACTCTGTTAAGTCCTTTGCTAAATCAGGATGGTTCATAAGATAGTGGCTGGCACACTTCACACATTCCAGATATATGGGTCACGAACGCCATGAAACCTGCCCAGGTAACACTGCCAAAGTGGTTTGTTTTGAGAAACCAATTCTGATTTCTTTGCCCCAAACACTTTTGCCAGCAGTTAACAACTTGCAGGCGCTCCTTGTTATCACTGCTCTTCAGTTTAAATTCAAGCTGGGATAAAACTGAGAGTAGCAAATTACTGTCAATATTATAGAGCTCCAAAAGTAAGTCAAAGACACGCTCTGACCAAGTGCTGAGAGACGTTTTCCCAAGCACCAGAACCTGGCTTTAAAACTGCTAACACAGTGTATGGTTCAACAGCTTGAGCTATCCTTACGAGTAAACCCTTTGCCAAATCATATGCTTGCTTGTTTAAATTCTTATGGGCAGATTCCAGATTTACTAAAACCCTACCCAAAAGCTCTTAAGGTACCGTGTCTCCTTCACAACCGATGGAGCTCAAGAGGTCTACCTGCATCCGAACTTTCCGGTTGTGGCCACTGTTTGTAACTGAAAATTATGTTCTGTGTAGTTGTATAAAAAGCTCATGGCTATCTTCCAAAAGCATATATTATATCTTCAAAGCATATATTATATGACTTAACCCAAACAGTGTTCTCAAGTAAATAAAAACACCTATTAAATTGTGGGTTCTTTGTATCCCCTGACCCCTTCAACTTGCCTTGTTGTAAACATAAATCTATCCTTTAGTTTATCAGGTGATGTGTAAGGAGCTTCAGGAGTGTAAATCCTGAAACTATCACGAAGGCCACAGGCTACCAGCAGGTAAACATCAGGACGCTTGAGAAAAAAGTCTGAAGCAAGAAGTAAAGCCAGGTGTAAATAAAGCTCCTTTTCTTCTCCAGAGTCCTGGTCCATATTCATGCAAGTTGTCACCAGCAACTTTAACTGTCTCACCATCTCCTCTTCGGATATTTTATCTGAGGTTTCCTTGATGCCAGGACCATAGGCAATTTTCCATAATTGGTCTTTGTCTTTGAAGGAGCCCTGAAGCCATGATGGAATATTTTTACCCCGTCCTAGGTTGAGATATCTTCTCTAAAGCCTCCAGTCTGGGTCAGGTGTCCCCTGTACAGGTTTGCAGGACACCCCTAGGGTGGGAGGGATGGACTAGAGTTGTGTGAAGAGAGACTGGGGTTTGTGGCTCTGGGGAGAGAGCTGGAGGGACAGCTGCCAGGAGCCCTGGGCTGAGCCCCTCTGCCACACGGCAGAGGCCTGTATTCTTAGGTGGAGCACGCCCCTCCTTGCATCAGCCTGGCAAGAAGCAATAGCCCCACATTCTGGTCTCTAAATAACTTCTTTAAAAATTTTTGTATTTCACAGGTTTCTCCAATATGAGCAGCACATACTGTATCCAGACAAGAAATGAATGTCACCAAGGAGGCCACTGAGCTACCTCTCTTGAAAGGCAGCTGGAGGACTCCAGTGGGCAGAAGATTTGGGTGGAATTGTGGCTAGGGATCTGAAATACAGAGGGGAGAGAGATGGGAACCAGGAAGAGAGACGAGGAGCACAGTGCCAGCTGGAGCCACTTTATTTCCAAACATGAGTCAAAGCAGACACAGACTTTCCTACCTCCATACTGGACTTGCATCTTATAAAACAGATTTGCTGCTAAAATCCTTCATAAAATCTGCCTTTCCCTTCACAGTAGAAAATAAGCAAAGAGTCACAGGTTAAAAGGTCATGCATAAAATATTCTATCCACCAAGATAATTATATAATAGTCTTAAATTCTTCACAGATCAATAAAAAAATCATTAATACTAATTGACACTTCACTATGTTTTGCTGCACTTCAAGATTTTTCTTCATATATTTATGTTCATATTTCACAAACAACAATATTACAAAAAGGCTATCAACTTTTTCATAAAATAGGAAAACAAAACAAAGTCATAACACTAAAATATATACACATCAATCTGCAGAGCATTAACTTTAAAAAATTAAAACAAAAAGAAAATGAACTCACCCCAAATAAGAATATCTGTAACACAAACTCTGTGGGCTTCCCAAAGGAGTTCTTAGCACTCAGATCTGGGGCTGGGTAGAGCTTATACTGCACCTAGTGGGTTTGTGTATCATGATTCACAACTGTGATTACTACAAGGACAGTTTCACGGTGTGGGTGGGACACAGTGCAAGTCATTAAATCATTCACACATATAAAAGCTTTAACGAAACTCAAGTATTTCCTCAGAAACAGTGTTTGACTCCCTTTTCTTTCACCCCCCCTTGTCCTCTGAGAGCCCCCTGTAGAGATCTGGAGTCGCTCACTGCCTATAACTGCTGCAGGATTTGGCTTGTAATTCTAAGGGCAAGGGATGTTATTTTAAGGAAGTCTGTGCATGTATTGTATTTTCTTTGCTTAATTAGAGGTAGATAACCTCAAAATAAGGTCCAAATATCAGTTCCTTCAAAGAGTGTCAAAAGCATAATATTAAACAAGGAGGTTAGCTACAAGAAAGTAAGAATTGAAATTCTAATTTTTAAGAAAAAAATATCTGATGATGCATGCGTCTGTGTATATGGAATAAATGACCTACAAAAGAAAAAAACAACACTGTAGAAGAAGAGTTCGATATAATTTGTCAACCTGGAAAAAATGGTTGGAATTTATGGTTGGAAGAAACCTCATATATCAAGTAGTTAATTCTCTGATTTCGGAGGAGAAGGGAGAAGAGACCCAGACAGGGCAAGTGACTTGCCTGAGCACATCAGCACACTCATTTGTACAACTACTTTTAGACACACCCAGGCGCACATTCACTGTTGCATTCACTTCTGTTTTGTACAATAAACGCTACTGGTTTACACAATAAATAAAACGAACTATGCAAATTTTCATTTGTCATTTCATTTCCGGGAGTGGGAAATACCCATCTTTCAGATAAGCGAGAGGTTCTACTTTCTCCCAACTGGTCCATTTACCAAACTGTACATTCCCTGCCTGGATGCTGCTCTCTGCAGCCCCGGGAAGAAGCACAGATAGAGAGAGACGTGGGCCTGGCAGCAAGGAAAGCAGAGGCACTCAACTCCTGTCGGATTCAGTTTCTAGTTACGCCAAAGATGCTCCCACCGGCAGTGAAGGCTTTACATCAAGTTCAACTTGGGCTATTAGAACATCTAGACTTGATGGAAGGATATAATGAGGGGGAGGCCCCCGATGCCCTCGGCCCAGAAGAATGTGAGCTAGTGCCCCTCTGACCGTTAAGAGCAGAGATGAGCAGTGTGGGTCTTGTCTAAGCTATAAACTGTAAACTTAGATGGCTTTGCTAGGTGAAGTCATAGTTTCTAATGATCTTAATTTGTAGATGCCTGTGAACATCACAATACTTAGGCCTAATGTACAGTAGTATTCATAGCTATTTTACCCTTTTCATAAAATTACATGTGGATATAATTCTAAGGTCATTTTTAAAAATATTATTACTTTTAATCTTCATTATAGACTTTATTCTAAAAAATCCTGAGCCCAGCTACATATATTAACGTGAAATAACTTTAAAAATAAGCAATACATTATATACATACCAAAATAGCCCCATTTAAAGCCATGTAAGTGAAAAAGTTGAGTTTTCAAGAATAAACTAGACCTTCTACAAGTACTTTTCATAATTTTAAACTAATATCAAACATACCTTCTTTCTGACTATGGCCAATATATACACACTGCTCTTAGTAATTTATGTCAGAAGTATTCACTATGAAAACAGTAGGTTGGTTGGTTTGTCTGTTTTCACTTGTTCTATAACGGAAAATTCATTCCAAATTTAAGTAAGTTTGGTCCCAAAAGTTCTCCCCCAAGGAGACAGCATAACCAGAAGACTTGCAATGCACAGCTACCCAGGGCATATGCAATCTTACATCTTCTAATAATAGTGGTGGAAGGTAACTTTCAAGTATCATAATCCAACTGGATGTATAGATCATTATCTCATAAAATTAACACTCTATAGGGAGAAAGTCATTTGAGAAACTTGTCCTTGCTAGAACATCTTCGCCAAAATTCCCATAGGAAACAAAACCATCCACCTACAAGGGATGGAGGGCACTTGGTAGCCAGCAATGACCTTAAAGCGCACACATTTAACAGTGCTCTGAACTCAGCGTAAACTCTAGCAAGATGAAGAAGAGCCCACACTTTCTTACTTCATTAAAGGTTACTGGGTCATCCAGAGTGGGAAGCATTTCTTCTAAACAGCACGTCTTGGGAAGGCAGGACCCACAGCTACTTCCAGCCCCTGGTCCTGCCCTCCACAGCAATGGCTATTCATAGCTGTTTGGCTAAAACAAGAAGAGAGAGACTGGATAACTTGGAGAACCAGATGTAGGTGTTTTTGTACTTATTGTAGTCAAACACATTTTAAAAAATTAAATTAATGCAGGGAAGGGAACAGATTCCATAACTCACAAATAACAAGGGAGAAATGAGTTGACTAAAAAGTGCATGTCTTTCCAAAGCAGGTGCAGGTCAAGAGGGGCACACAAGCATTCTAGAAATTTTACTTCTTCACAGATTTTGATCCAGCCATGTGATGTAACTTTTCCTAGTCCGGATTCCCACTGAGAAGTTGGTGGGCCAGGTGGTGAAAATCATGCACCCGTGGAAGCCATCCTCAAAGTGATCCAGGGTCACCTCCACACCTGCACTCTCCAGACGCTTTGCATACATGATCCCATCATCTCGTAGGACATCGTGCTCACAAGTCAGAATATAGGTCTTTGGGAGGTGCTGCAGGACTTCCTGGTCTGCAATGAGTGGGGCAGAACGGACATCTAGCAACTGAGGGATCTCGCGGACAATCCTGGCGTTGCCAGTGGTCTGCATGACTGGCTTGTAGTTCTTTGTGAAGACTGTGGGCAGGAGGGATGTCCAGTTCAGACGGGCCCTGAGGGCAGCAGCCTCTTCCACATCCAGCGAAGTGTGGTTGTTAACTATCATTGCCTGGACAAAGTCATAGTTGCCTTTGAAGTAGTCCACCCAGTACTTCACCATGACATAACGGGGCAGGATGGGAGTGTCCATATTCTGCTGATAAGAGGGTGTGTTGAAATCTAGAGCCTGAAGAACTGGGTAAATTAAAGCTTGCAGTTTGAGCTTGCTTTTCAGGTTGGCATCTTGACTAAACTGGAGAAATAGAAGCAAACATATCATTTTATTTGGCAGGGATCCTTTTACAGAAACTACACCTCAAAGAGCAGGGTAATATGTTACTTTGAACCAGTCAAAAAGATACAGTTGTTCAATTTCAAGCAGGCATGGTATTAATGTAGTTTAAGAAAACTACATAATTCCTCATTACCAACCACCACCACCATCCTATCAAGCTACTGGATAATTACTAAGAAAGGTATGATATTTGCAACTTATAGTTTTGAGTGAACACTTCAAATGTACATGATCTCATAGGCTCCTAAACCCTCCTTAACATATTACTTGTATCCATCCTTTGGCACTTAGCATACCTTACTGGGTACTATGGATGGATAATGTGTGAACCTAGGTAGTTTTGTATTCCCTGCAAAGTCCGAAAAAGGCAATGGCTTCCACGGGAGAAAAAAACTAGTCTGACTCTCCCAAAGGAGAAGGGCAGGAAAATGAACAGGTGAAGCATGTTCTGGCATGAAGCATGCAGACACAGTGCTGGCAGTGTGCCCTCCGCTCTGCCTAATGAGCATGTGCCCCGGGGTGAAGTTGAAATGAGAGTGGGAAGGAACCTCCGTCTCAGCAGACCGCAGTTCTGCTGAGGGAAGCTGTAACTGCTTTGTAACAGCGGGAGGAAGTGATCAGTAAGTAGTATTACTGATATGTGCCAAGAATTGCATATACATTATCTCCCTAAGCAAGTCTTGGCAGTAGCCCCAAATATCTGATGGTATTATCCTCATTTTCCTGAAGCTCAGAGAGGTTAAGGACTTGCACAGAGATGGCTCCCAAAGGGGGCTGAGATCCCTTCCCTGTTCTACCTCGTTTTAAAGTTTCCCCAAGGCACCAGGACTGACTTCTTACTGCATTTGGGTGCATGGAAAGCAAACCTGCTAAGGCCAAGTGGAGAATCAAGTTCTTTAATTATAGCAAAGGGGAAGAAACCAAGGTACACCACAGATAACAAGGCAGACGCTACTTGAAAATACCAAGAGAAAAAAAATTGGAGGTGAGAAGACAGAGACACTATTCTTAAATTATTTGATATGTTAAACAAAAACTGTTGCAACCAAAAGATTTTCTGGAAGGAAAGGGTTCCGGAGCCACGTGCTACCCAGAGAGGGGAGCAGGTCCTGGGGCTGCAGTCCGAACCAGCAGCAGCCAGGCTGGAAGAAGAAGACAAACACGTCCCCTGTCCTGGGGCTGACAGGGCGCTTTGACATGACGGGTTCCAGGAAGAAAGATGTAAGTGGGTTGAAGGAATTTACCTGGCTGTAGATAAGGGGGTGGGAGCCACACAGCAGGGAAAGTTCTAGGATCCTCGAACAGTCCCTAAGAAAGAAATACTCCCTACTCCTGGACTGTCGTGAGCAACAGTCTGGAAAGTTCGTGCAGAGGCATGATGCAGTTGTATCTGGAGACTGGCTTTTTTTTTTTTAAATAGCCACCTGGAAGGTGATTCAGAGTAGTAACATCCACTCAGGAATGTGAGCAGTCTATTTCTGGATTGGGCCCAAGGCTCTGTAGCTGATTACCTCTCACCTCTTCCTCCCACCCTCCAGCCTGCTGTCATTTAATTTAGGACAGCTCGGGATTTTTCTCCTGTCGAATCCACAACGGGAAGGAAATGTACTTATCTTTCAGTTTAAACAGCTGCCCCAAACTTTGTTTTCAAAGAATTTAACCAGGGGAAGCTCGGGTTTATTATTACATTTCAAGTGACAGAACCATTTAATGTTGTCTTTGACATAAAAAAAAACCAATGGGAGACACTTTTTAATTTTTAATTTGGCCCAAGGTTCTAAGGAAACAATCTCAGCAACTGGAGTTCAGGCAAAAAATCCCCTGTTTTGGAAGTCCAACATGGAAAAGGGGCAGGAAACGCGTAATTTCCATGTGTTCCCTGAAGAGCAAGGGAGGCCTGTAAAAAGTTAGGCCTCCTCTCATGCTGAATGTCCCTGGAGCCTTTTCAAGGACTCAGAGACGACCCCGCTTCTACTTCTGAAAGACCTCTGAGACCTCTCCAAGCTCAGTCACCTAAATAACTCGGCCACACGGTGATCGGCCTGGCTAAGTCATTGCCATGCGTGGTCGACCGTCTGCTTGGTCTTTTGGACATCATCGCACAGCCTCCTGCTGCCAGCATCTCAGAGCAGTCGGTTACCTGTTGGCCCAGGGCAGCAGCCAAATTCCCACCAGCACTGTCCCCAGAAACGCCAATTCTGCCTGGGTCGACTGAATACTTCTGTAAGACTTCTGGCTGCAGAAAATACTTCGTGGCCCGCACAACATCGTGAATCTGCTCTGGAAAATGAACCTTTGGAACCAGTCTGTACCTGTGAAGACAAAAGTTGTATTTATTGTAGGATTTGCTAAGTATTTACAAGACATAAAGTTTAAGGAGACACCGGTTCCTTTTGATGCCAGAAATAAACAAGTAAGGAGTTGAAATAAAAATAAAAACCATTCATTTTCTTGCAAATCAAATATTTAGTTTTAAAATGTAATGATTTTTTGTATTATCAATAATTCTCCTTCTCTTTTTTTTACTATCAGCCACCAAACCAAACCAAAACAAATATCTACCACTACCAATGCAAAAATGAAACTTCAAAGTAAAAGGCAGATGTTGATAATAGTAACATATGGATAGAACCACAGCAAACCTTGAATTTTATTTCTGAAGGTCAGTGTTCCAACCATAACACCTCTGGGTTAGAAGGTGACTTGGCAGCATTAACCACATGGTATTCTTCATGACTGACTTGTTCCAGGTAGTAAAACTGTCCTCCACTAAAGTGGCCGTGCCAGTCTGACATTAAACCCAGGCAATGCATTCACTGTCTGGGAGGCTGAACCTAAAGTTCCAATTGTCAACAAGCAGAAAGGAAGCCAAACCTGCCCAGTAGCTCAGGGTAGGTAGGCCCTCTGGGCACCTCTGGCGCTTCTCCTACTGCCCTTCTTTTCACCATCAGAGTCCCTTTGGGATCCTACTCTGATCATTTCATGGGATTCATATTCCTTTAAGAGTCCATAAAACCTTAGTTTTTTCAAATGCACCATATAGTATTACAGATCCATATTTGGTGATCTTGTCTTGGAGAGTCTTCTCAGTCTCCACGCTCCTTCCTTATTTTTATTCACCCTTTATTCCTTACTCCAGGGTTTGCCCTCCTCCAGGCAGACTTCCTTGACTATATAGCCTTTCTGTGTAAGACTGTAGTCATGAGTGAGCTAGCTACTATCCCTCGATACTTCTATGTGCCAGGGTATATTGCTGTTCTTATGGTCTCATCTTGAAATGATTTCTCTATGTATTCTCCTAAAGAGTATGTTGTCTAATATTAGGAACTATATATTATTCATCACTGTGTGTCTAGTATCTATCAATGTGCTAGGCACATAATCATCCATCCAGTAAACCTTATGTGAGTATTGATATACCTTTATTTTGCAAATGAAAAAACTGATGCACAGGAAGTTACAGTATTTGATTTGTATTGGGTTGGCCACAAAGTCCATTTAGTTTTTTCCATGAAATACAAGACACATCTTTCATTTTCACCAATAACTTTATTGATTTGGATATTTTGAGAATGTGGGCTATCTCTTGCTATTGGGTTTTATCAGGTAGAGGCTAGGGGTGCTGCTAAACATCTTCCAATGCATAAGACAGCCCCACAGCAAAGAATTATGTGGGCAAAATGTCAACAGTACTTTCGACATACACTGCACAAATCTTTTATGCATTTCAGTTGCATTTTTTACCTTTCTTGAAATAATAAATCATAATACACTGAAAATGTTTCATATTTTTTTCCATCTTCAATATTCAAATGGTTGCACAAAAATTTACCAATGCTGATAATTTTTTAAAGATTATCTATATATATATTTTTTCATTTTTAGAGAGAGGGGAAGGGAGGGAGAAAGAGATGGAGAGAAACATCAATGTGTGTTTGCCCTTCATGCACACCCTACTGGGGGGCTGGCCCGCAAGCCAGGCACGTGCCCTGACTGGGAATCAAACTGGGGACCCTTTGGTTTGCAGGCCAGCGCTCAATCCACTGAGCCAAACCAGCCAGGGCAATGTTGATACATTTTTTAAAATGGGCACAGATATAACAGATGTCACAATACAATCTAACAAAATTGTTTCAAATGAAGTTAAAGATAACTAAGCACTACTAGAGCCAATGTACAGAAAAACTAAATGAACATTTTGGCCAATCAATAAGTCTAACACAGATCAAAACCAGGGAGGGTAGAAACTTCTTCATTAAAATTTAATAATAGTTAAGAACTCAGGTCTTTTGATTTTCATTTTATAATTAGCATTATTCTGAGAAATTAATTTTTTCTAAGCTACTTTTACAAAGCCATTCATTTCCTCCATCTAAAATCCAGCTATTTAACTAACTAGCTTCAACATTCAGTGTAGATACAGTCAAATGGACAAATATTTGTGAAATACTATCACAAATAATAATTTAGATCTGGTCATTCAGGAATTACGACATTTGAAAACTGTAAATGCAATAAGAAATTCCTTTAGTGGTTGCCTTATAGCAGATAAAATAAGTTTTCTAATTTTCTTTTTATTTTTTCATCTGTGGTGATCAGGTAATCATCAGAAACACGTTTTTCTCCAGCTGATTTTCACCACGTCTTAAAACTGCTGCCACAGCATCCCATTGTTAATGATGGGTGAAAGGAGTAGGGTTACACCATTTCGTCCACTAGGGGGCAACAGCTCACACGATTCCATTTACCCTCAATTTGGGGCGAGGGGACGATTTTTTTTTAACTTCATCACTAAGCTGAATTCCTCATTCTATCAATGAATTAAAAGCGAATGCATTTTATGACTTCAGTTGTGAAAATACATAATTTGTCTCAACAAGATTCCACGTATCATGATAAATTGTTTTTGTGGTGGCCCAGGAGGTCAGAACATATTCTATTAGTATATGCACATGAACTACATTTTTAGATGTTGCCTCCGAAAAGGTCTCAGTGACTTTGAATATGACTTTGAATAAAGAGAAATTGTTAATCTAAAAAAAGTTCTACTGCCTCCAACCTTATCAGGCAGTCAATCGCTGGTTCAGATAACAGAGTAAGTATATTTAAAAACAAACAGGCTAGAGTGCAAAAGTGTTCCCAGCACCCTTAAAGACCTCCCAACCCTTCCCATCCTCTCGTTCAAACTGGAACATTGTCTAACTTTATTCAGTAAGAAGGGGCACTACTTCCACAGACTGAAGAATACAGTGAAACTAGATATTTCTGAGGTCACCCAATGTAAGCTGAGCCTTCGAAGGAACTTGAAATTGACCAGAGGACTATAACAAAAGTCCTGTAAAATCTTTATAGTCATGGAAAACTGACAATCAGGAGGAAATTCATGAGTGGTATAGCCAAAGAAAGCTCGCAAAAATATACTTATCTGTTTTTGTTCAAAGCTATGTCCCTGCAAAGTACTGAAAAAGGACTCTGCCTTTTGTTTTGTTTCATTTTGTTTACTTTTAAACTTGTAGGTCTTGAGTAAAAGCACCTGACGAATTCTAGAGGCTGCTGTCTCACTTCCCCCAACTCGCTGCAGGGAGAGAGGACTCCGCAAATCCAGCTCTAACGGTCTTACTGTGCATGCCTCCTACTAGATGAACAAAATTCAGTGTAAATTCAGGAATGAGGTTCAAACAACTTAATAAATGTGTGCATTTTATAAAAAATGTCAGTCCTGCTAAGTGAGGCATCTCACCAAGTACTCTACAAACATGTTGCACTCAAATCTCAGAGCACACCTGTGGGGTTAAGGATGAAGACAAGGAGGATGTGTAACTTGGCTGCAGCGACTAGTAAGTGGCACATCCGTGATGTGAGTTCACAACTGACTTGGAAACCCATGTGGACTCCGCCTTTCAAAATATTCTTTCTTCAACACTCACAGCTGTTTAATAATGTGTATGTGTGTTCTGATTGCCCTACCAAAGCAGCAAATTCTCAAAACTGTAGATTTTGGACACCCCAGAATGGCCCTCATGATTTCAATGGTTTTGCAATATTCTCAAAACAAACCACCAAGCAGAATGCCTGGGCACCCGGTACATCTTGTGGATGAAAACGATATTATAATAAATCATAAACTCCTAACTGGGCAGCTTATGGTGGGTTGTCACACTCCAGGCCTATAAATTCTTAAGATGGTTTCTTAAGCCAGTCCTGTCTATCGTTCTTGTGCATCTGGTTATACTTACCTTTGAAATGCCAGAAGCAATACTCCTCAAAGGTGTAACCACCCTCAAGACAGTACATAAACTTGTTAACTGTCTTCTAATCTAAACCCTGCCTTGCTTTCTCCCAGCTCCACATCATCTTATATTTCCTCCTTAACTCCAAACGCAGAAGAGAAATCACAAACCACCATTCTCTGGGGGATCTGAGATCCTGCTTCTCGACAACAGCCATCAGTTTGGGCTCAAATAAACTCCTAAAAAATTCTCTGCAGGTTTGGACATTTCTTATGTTGACAATCTTTAATAGCATTCTTTTCTCCAAACAAAATTTTAAAGATTTGTTTTACACCTTTTACGTATAAAATGTCAATATAACACTATCTGTGGTGAGGAAAGTAATAAGCCAGATGGCTTTAACAACATAAATTGCTCTTCACCCACCTACTTGTCTGGCACAGCTCTGAGGACTCCGCTTCTCGGAGCCCACGCATCGCTCAGTTTCTTAGCATACCCTGGGGTAATCCTGAGGGCTTTATAAAGGCACTGAGGTTTGAGCCCCACTGCAAAACACTCCAATGCATTGGATCTGGAGTGGAGCCCAGCATATCTATATTTGAAGACAAATTTCCCCAAGTAATTCTAACGTGCAGCCAATGTTAAAAAATATCACCGAGTCCAGCCACTTTGTCACTCTTGTCTGAACACATCTCCCTGTTCCTGTTCCCAACGCCTTGGTCCCTGTTTCCGCCCCCCAGGCCCTTCTCCCTGCAACGACGGGTCAAGTGTTCTGGCTCTTTAAGTCTCACTTCCAATGCCACTTTCTCCGTGGAACCTTCTGAGAGCCCAGCCAAAAGAAACTCCCCTGCCCTGAAGCCCTGGAAGCCTCTCTGACAACAGGTCATAACAGACACCTCGACATGCTCTTGCAGTGGATGGAAAGTGAGAATCAGGCACTGAAGGGTCTGATGTGGGTCTACCTGAAATAATCAGCACCCACTTTATTAACAGTGACAGAGAGGTAGAGCGGTGATCGGAAAAGCGGATAAATTGCTCCTTACATCAAAGGCAGGTGCTGTACACAAGCCCGTAGTTCAGGG